TGGGGTCCTGGCCTCTCTTGCAGGCTTAGCAGCTGCTGCTGGTTTCTCACTGTTGCAGGAGCCCATGGCTCGGTGCAGAGCTGGCACCCAGCCCTGCTGCTGGGCAGCACCTGGTGGGACTGCTGCCTTCCCTAGGGCACCCTCCTCAGTCCTGCTTGCAGCATCCTGAGCTGGGTACACTCAGCTCAGAGCTGTGGTCACTGCATCCCGGCTCTGGGGAGGGGGTTGCAGCTGGAACCTGGTTCTCCTCCAAAGACCACACTGGCATCTCCTGTGTGTTGTGTCCAGAGCGAGAAGATGCAGCAAAACCTCCACCTGGCTGCTGCCAGCCAGCAGCAAACCGCTCCCTCCACTGAGTCTGAACAAGCAGACACTTGTTTGCCTGTCCTCTGCTACTCAGCAGAGCTCGCTGGCGTGTTAACCCTTTTCTTCCCTCCCTGTCCCTGGTGAGCGGGAGATCTTCAGAGAAGCTAAGTTGGGGCGCACTGGAATTACAACCCAAAATCACAGATTACATAGGAAACAGGGAATAATAATCACGTGTGAAGCACTTCCAGGCAATGAGCTCAAAATGCTGAACTGGCACTGCTGAAGGGCTTGATAGTATGAGAAAACATATTTTGGGCAGGGGATTTAATAATAGCCTTTAACAAAGAGGGAGAGGCTGAGATCTGAGTTCCACTTTCATGAAATCCAGACAGAGGGATCATTAACTTTATTTTTAGGCTTGGCTGAATAATCAGGAGGTTTGAAGATTTGCCTTCTCTGTTTCACTTGTTTTAGGAGGGGCTGTGCTGGCAGAGCTGGGATGAAAAGCACACTGGATTCACCAGAAGCAGCACCTCTGTGTCACTTCCAGGGATGTACTTCTGTGACCAGCTGATAAGCCGGAGCATTTAATTCGCTTTTTTTCCACAGCTCAGGGCAGCCACACATCGCATTGCTCGGGCTGGTCACACATCTCCAGCTGGGAGAACACGGCTGCTGGAAGAACCCAGACCTTCCTCCCAAATAACCATTTTCTCCCTCCCTCGCTCCTGCGCTTTCCCCCCTGCTCTGGTTTGCAGCATGCTGGTTCTGGCCTTCCTGCCCAAAGGGCTTTCCGGCTTCTGCAGCTGGAAACCAAAGAGCGGGCCTGTTTTGCCGAGGAATTCAGCATGGCAGCTGCAAGGGGCTGGCAGAGCCAGAAAACATGGGCAGCATCGGGGGTCCCCGGGTGCTGCAGGGGGTAAAGTTGCTGCCAACAAGGGCATCCCCTCTGCCTGCCCCTGCATGGAGCACGCTGGTGCCCTGCAGAGGTGGGCTTATTCGCTGCTACGATCGGATGTTCAAAAGTCGGGTTGGGTGGGGGAGCGGGGAAGCTAACATCAATTAAAGCGAGATTCGGCCGGGGATTTCCCCCTTCTCCTTTCACTTCCCTCCAGCTGCGAAAAGGGTGGGGAGAGCTGAGAGGCTCGCTGCGGCAGGAGGAAAACTCCCCCTCGCCGAGGTTAATGAACCCGCCTGACGCGGTGGCGGCCGTACCCGGCCGGGGAGACGGGCTGCCGGGATTACGTGTTGTGCTGCATGTATATCCGTCAGCCGCAAGGCTCTGGCGAGAGGCCCCGGCTGGAATTAACCTGCAGTAACCCCGCAGCGCAGGGGCAGCCTTGCGGGGCGTGCCGCCCGGCTAGGAAAGCCATTATAATCCGCTCATTCACGGCGCTTAAAGAGCCAGAGGGTTTTTTTTATCCTGGTCCTCCTGGAGGGGAGGAGGGTTTGGAAACGCTAACGCATAACGTTCTCCATCCCGATGGGACGTCGTGTGCCTTACTGAGCTCAGCCCCCCATGTCATCAGTCCCAGCAGGTTTTAAAGTAACATTTTTATTATGAACAAATAAAATTTCAGATCAGCACAACCAGATGTCTGTTTCCGTATTAGTAGAAATTATTTCAAAAAGTTTTTTTCTTTTCCAGTACACAAAACAGAGATACTACTATGCAGAAATCCCTAAGCTGTGAAAAAAATCGTATCCTACTCACATTTCAACAGTGACAGAGCTTAGACAATGTGCAGATTCAACTTTCCAGTCCTTCCCTGAACACCCAACACTTGAACCTCTGCTCTTCACAATACCAGCGGGGCTGGGAACGGTTTTGGAAAACAAACCAGTCCATGCTTCTGCCAGCAGCGGTGTGCGTGTGGTACGTACGCTTCCCTCCTCCATGCTGGGCTGGTTGGCAGCAAGCCTCACCACACCCCGGGAGGCAAGGTGTAACCCTGTTACAGGTAGGGAAACTGAGGCACGGAGAGGTGGGGGTTTTTTTTAAGTGACTTTGTCCCAAATCACACAGTGAGCAAGTAGCTAAGCTGGGAACAGGTCCCGGGAGAACTACTGCTCTAGCCACGAGGTCCCACTGCTGCTTTTTCTGCTTCCACCTCTCACAGACTCATTTAAGCTAAACATACAGACGACGCGTCCAGGATACAAACATGCCACCAAAAATATATATATATTTATAAGTGTGTATATATATATTGAACAAAGTTCTACTTAAAAGTGTTGTATCTGTTTCTTAATCTAACAAAAATTCTAACTCAAATACATTCAAAATCACCTGCACCCACAGTTCAATGTAGGCAATTAAATAATTAAGAAACCCCTCGAATGTTCATAATTCAGCAAAAAAAAAAAAAGAAAAAAATACGGTAAATAGCTGTCAATACTACTATGTATATTAAAGAAAGATTTTTAAGGCACCCAGAGATATTTGCCAATCTACCTTTAAAGTGACTGGGCAAACACCAGGACTGTTTGGTTACTGCTCCTCAGCTTCCACCCTAATTCCAGATTCTGGACCCAAAACAGCACTTGAAATTTGAAAGGAACCCTTGATGTCAAACCCTGCTTCTCTGCTGAGAGGATGTGAAATACTGCAGCATGTCATGGCACGCTTCTCTACTGTAGGGTATGTCACACAATAAGGGCACCAGGAGCAAGGAAATAATTCTCCTCACCTTCTTCCCTCCCTACACACCTTTCAAATTCATCCCTCTGGAGGCTTCCATCAGTTCAGAAAGGTCTAGACTACAGCTAAGTCAGCCCACAATTACAGAGCTAACAATGTTTATCTTTTTTTGAGGGCTTTTTTTTTTTTTTTAATAGTAGGATACAATTCTAGCTACAGCCCCTTTGCCCCAGTCAGTCCCCCAGGCAGTCAGAAGCCTTGGAGCAGTAAGGATGCTGTCTCCTGACAACGTGAGCTGAAGGGCTCCCTGCTGCGTTCCTCCCTGCTGTATCTCTTGACTGGAGACCGCATCTACTCCTGATGGCTCAAAACCTTGAAGGGTCCCATTGCTGAACAGTAAAAAGGCAGTGGTTGGTGGCAGGGAGGGGAAAGGAGAGGAGGATGACTTCTTTTCTGAGTAACAAGCATTCTCTTCTTAAGGAGACCGTCACAAAGCTGTACTGGCTCCTGGTGAGTTTTGCAGCAGCAAGACCAAGAAAAGCTGCAGAGACTTGCTCCCGTGAAGCTTGCCTGGCTGCTACGTGGCAGAGCTGAGGCGAGGAAGTTGGCATCCGCTCTGTCTCTGCCCAACCTGGCCTGCCTGAATAAGGGAGATACTGCAAACCCCACTCCAACATCACCTTGTTCTGGCCACCTTTTGTGCTTTCCTCCAGCTCCATTCGATGCATTTAAGCAACAAAAACAATACTATTGCTACAACTAATAATAATAAAAAAATTCATAATAATGGGAGAGTTAAGGGGGGGAAAAAAAGCACGTTCAGCCCAGTGAGGAGCTCGGGGGTCACAACACCCAGAACCTAACCCACCACGTGAACTCAAGCTGTGGTCTCTGCAACTTGCAGGAAACAACACCCACAAGGACTTTTTTCCCCAGCACACCCTCCAGCTGCATGCCCACAGCAGCTCAGTGATATAACTGACCTTTCTGCAGGCTTAGCCGCCCTCGCTGCCTGCCGTGCTGGCGAAGGAGTGAGGCAGCAAGATAGCTTGCCGAGGGGGCCGGGAGGCAAGCTAAGGGACTAACAAGGAGCTCCTTTCACCTCCCCTTCCCACTCCCTCAGGAGTGCCTCCCAGTCCCTTGGAGGAGCAGGGAATTGCAAACCACCCTGCGGACCCTGGGCATGGCCCACGCTGGTGGCAGTGTCTCATCTCAGAGGTCTCAACTCCCTCAAGCCCCCTGGGCTGCCTGGCGCCGCACTGGTGTTTCTCAGGCACTTGTTAATTGACTGAGTGGAGCCCACAAGCATGGGGGGGCCTGCTCCCACGGATACCTTCACCCCTCCCTACACCTGCAGACACTCCCTTGCCCCGTCCCTGCGCTCAGCACAGGATGCGGATCTGCAGGGCAGGCACGGACACCAGGACATCCGCCTGCCACCCAGCGGGAACCCTGTTCCTCCAGCACATAAAGCAGCTTAACTCAGTGGTGGAGCTTTGGTTTATATCCTTCTCCTCCTCTCCATTTTGGCAAAGTCCTGTTTGCTGGGAAAAATCTTGGCAGCAGCTAACAAAACCACCCCAGGCACACCCCTCTGTCTGTCCCCCTCCTCGCTGTGGCTCTCCAAAGGGGCCGCAGAGCCCAGAGCTGGGCTCTGCCTTCAGTCCCTGCAGGCAGCGGTGGCATGGGGTGTGACGGGCGGGGCTGGGAGGGAGGCTGTGACGCCAGAGGGAGGAGGTAATAAGGCCAATGATGCTCTCCCTCTGGTGCCTGCTGCTGCCGCCAGACCCCTCCCGGCCATTGGTGGACCTGGCTGGAGCTCTGAGAGAGTCTAGGGGCTGGGCTCTCCTCTCCTCAGCTAGAGAGGCTGTGCGGGTGGAGGGGGGATAAAACTACCCAAGACACATCTTGGAAAGAGACAACTCTCTGATGGCAAGGGAAGGGGATAGGGCTGCTTTACCCAGGGACAGCAGTAGCCATGCCACGTCTGTGAGCAGCCCTTGAGAAAGGAGGAAAGAGAGAGGAAGGAATTTTGGGGGGAAAGTGGTGGGGAGAGGGTCACTGACTTTGGCCCAACTCTTCAGCTGGCTGGTACAGGCTTCCCTTAACTCCATGGTACGTAGCCGGCTGCTATCGGCCTCCCCAGGCTGCTTCCTACCAGCTCCTCTGCCAGGGAGAGACCAGGATGACATAAAGCGGGAGATGGGGTAGGGGGGCTAGAAAGGAAGAATGGAAGGGAAAAGGAGAGCGGGAAAGGGGTAGCCTTGCGTTACAAAGGCAGAGTCCTAGATCTTAAATACATCACGTAAAATACAGCATGGGAGGGGGGTTAAAACTCATTATCATTATCTTAAGCAAACTGGTAGCATTATTCAGTAGTTAGTAAACAGAACATTAAACCTTTGTCCAGCGTGTTCAGAGGGGTCAGGAAGGGAGAAAGGGAGAAAAAAGGCGGAAGGAGAGGTGTGGATGTGTGTGTGAAGGGGAGCAGGAACTCAGCCACTCTTGTGACTCCCATCTCCAGTCCGCATTTTCCGAGCCAGGATGACCTCCTTGGAGACCTTCTTGCGATCGCTGGCCAGCCCTAGGAGGCACATGAGGTCGATGAAGGCTGTGGTTAAGTTGAAGCGCCAGCCAAACTCACTGGTGGAGTAGTCGTAGGGGAAGGTGTGGTGGTAGTTGTGGAAGCCTTCTCCTGCAAAACATAATAAAGGAGAGGATGTCACAGAGCTCTCAGTGATGGCCCCTTTCTCTTGTCCTAAAGCACCACATTCCTGAAACAGGCTCTGGATTGAGTCCAGGCTCCTCTCAGCCCAATTTCACCTCTCTGTACAATCTACCCTATCTCATTTGGGCATGGTCCAGCATGCCTGGGCTGGAGCAAATCAGGTAATGACAGTCATAGAGGACCTATGGTGCTTTAGAGGAAAACAAGCATGTGGCAAGGAACCGAGAAGGGCTCTGGCTCACAGACTGCACCAATTCACCAGGGGAATCCTAACAGCTTTTCCTCTGCTGCCAACATAAACCTTCTAGTATTGGTTGAGCTACCAGACAGACCTGCAGCAAGCCCCAAACAAACCAGGCCAATCAATATCCCTCTAACACTGGCAGTCCTAATGCCAAATCCAAAGGGTATTTCCAAATGACAAAAAAATAGACAGACTTCTACTAAATGATCTACCCCAGTCAGCCAGCCTCTGCTCCAGAGACTGTCAAGGCTGGCTTCAGTGCTCACACCTTCAATGACATCACCTGGACTCCTGCTCCTACTCCCTGAGTCTGTACAGTTCAAATCCCTTACTAGTAAAAATCCAGGAGCAGGTCATTCACTGGTAGAAATCAGTGAGGCTCCAGTAGTGTACTGATGCAAACCAGCTGAGGATTTGGGCTTGTGAGAACAGATCAGGGAAAATGTTGACCCTGGGATGTACTTTCCTAGGTCCCCAAAATTTCAGGGAAACACACGGGATCATCTGGCTTGTCTCATCCTTGACTACCCCCAAAAATCACCAGCTGCCCTGAGAACATATCCAAATGTGTATCTGCTGGTTTTCAAGTTGACAAATCTAAGACAGATAAACAGAGACCGCAGCACACGTTTTTCAGTCTGGTGAAGGGGGCAGAGAGACCTTCGAGCAGAGTAAATAAAATATTGCTATTGAGATAAGGAGGTGCTAAGTGTAGCAGAGTCCTTTCCAGCCTGGAGAGAGGCTGGTGGGAGCTGATAACCCCACTGCCCTTACGTACTCACTGGCCAGCCTGCGAAACACCCCCAGATGCAAAGGCTGGAGGGGAAGAGTGCAGGGGAAAATGGGGACACCTGGATTCACAGAAATTCCCAGAAGCTGCAGCCCTAAGGGGCGGTCCCCACTCTGCAGCCTACTGGCAGCAAAAGACACGGATGCTGAACGTACCTAGGGCCCCCAGGCTGACCAGGGGGTTCTCCCGTGGGTTGATGTGCTGATCATATGGCCGGTTGCCAAACATGTGAGCCGCACTGTTCACGAGCCATGTGGCATTAAGTCCTATGGTGTAGCGCAGGATGGCTGGAATGAAGAAGCTGATGATGATAGATTCATCCCAGAAGTACCAGGGCACTACGGTGGGCAGTGTGAAGCACAGCAACACCACTGAGGGCTTGTAGTATCTGGAAAGGAAGGAACCAGGAGGAAAGTGCTCAGTGGCAGAAGCAGGACAGGAAGGGCTGGTTCAGTCCTCCCTTTGGAGGATTCACATTCAGCTATACGGGGAAAATCAAATACAGAAGTACCTCACCCTTGAGCCCTGCATCTTTTGCCCTGGATGCTCAGAAGCCATTCCTGGAGACTCCCAAATCTTATCGCCAGGCAGGAGACTCACTAAAGTCATATTCTCCCTGTCTCAGCCTCACATGTGCACAAAGCAATGCCCTCATCACCATGAGTCTAGACACTAGCTGCTGCTTTTGGTCTCATCTTCCATTTGCTTCTCAGTTGTGTTGGTCCCCATAAAGGCAACCCCATGCTTGCAGATTCCCCCCCTTCTCCAGCTCTGGCCCAGTGCTGCAGCTCCTCCTTGCAGACTTGGCCCTGCTTACCAATATACCCCACCAACAAGCACAAGTAAGGAACACTTACTTGCACCATCAAAAAGATGAGCACGTGGTGTCTCTCACACTGGAGGGGCAGGAGTAGAGGAAGCTGAACCACTCTGACAACCCACAAGAAAAATCCCATGCACAAAAAGGACAGAAGCCATAAACCTTGCTTGGTTCATCTGGGACTGAACTAGAGACCTCCCAAGTGAGAGTGTTTACTATATGGGTTCAGTTCCCCCATCCCTGCAGCCCTGGTGACAGGCTCATCTGGGGATCAATCCCAGTATAGCCCCAGACAGCTGAGAGATACCCCATCCAAGAGGCACCAGTGAATCAAGACTGTCCTTCCCAGTGACAGCCTCTCTCATTTCCCCATTTTCAACTCCTCTTTCACCACACTGTTTCCTGGATACTGATGGGAGAGGGGAAGAGGCATGGCCTGGAAGGTGTACCACAACATCTCCAAGGATGGCCTGGAGGCACCTGCGGGTGGGCTCTGGGCCAGCCAAAGCAGCAGCCGCGCTGTGGGCAGGCAGGCGTGGAGGTGCTTTGTGGTGGGAAGCTCAGCCCACCACTGGCAAGATGCTACAGAGTAGGCAGGCAAGAAAGAGGTGTGGGAGGGCTAGAGGTAGCACTAGCTCCTAAATACTTCCTATAAGAGAGGCACAGCTCTTTTCTCACAGGGTTCATCCCACAGCAAAGCCTCAAACAGACTCACATTTCTCACATGATACCCCCAATTCCCCCCGTCAAAGGTGCTTGGGGTCCCCAGTCCATTTGCGGAGTCCCTGCTCCATCCCACATGGCTCTGTGTTGGGGCTGACCCCGCCACTCACCTCCGCTGGAACATCACCACTTTGTCAGCCTTTATGTCGCTCAGGTCCAGCTTCTGGCCCTTCTCTATGACGTCTGGGTGCTTGCGCACCAGCAGCCAGCCGATGTGGGAGAAGAAGAAGCCCCGCATTGCGTTATGAGGGTCTGCATCTGTCTCGGAGAACTTGTGATGGACGCGGTGGTCCCGGACCCATTCATAGATATCATTCTGCAAGGCAACAGGAGTGGAGACTTAGGGCCAGGGCTGGAGATGTTCCCTTCAAATTAACAAAAAGGGCCTAAAACATTTAGACACATAAATCCCATTGACTTGACTTCACATCAGCCATTTTATCGTTCTTTAGAATTTGGGGGTTTTGGCTTTTAAAACAGAGGTTGGATCTTCTTTGCTCAACCACTTCAATTTTCTTTGAAATGTGCTTCTCTGGTGGGCTGCCTTTTCTCTTTTTTTAATTGGTTACCTTTAGGCTTTGGTTTGCACATCCTCTACAGCATCACAGGCTCTGATTGGTCAGCCTGTTCCCCCACCCCTGCAACAGCCAGCCCTCATTGGCCAGTCGGTGCCTCCTCCCTCACACGCTCAGCTCTTGTTGGTCACTTGTCCCCATCCCTACATGGTGCCAGCTGGGATTGATCAACCTGCCCCTTCCCTCCGCCCTGACATTTTCCATGGGTCAACCTGCCTTGCTTTTCCTCGGCTTGCCAAATCAGACAGATCTGTTTAACTTGGAGCTGAGGGGTTTTTTTAACTTTTTTTTCTCCTTGGAAATCAAACAGTCTTAAAACGAAGGCCCTTCTTCACAAATAGAATATACACACCATTTCAATGGCAACTATCAAAAATACCCCCTTCAGCCACATAACTGTTCAATACGGTTTGGAAAATGTCAAAGCTTTCATTTGTATTCAGAAATGATTGTTTTGGCCAGTTTTAAGAATAGATTTTAATGAACCTGCGTTCATTCCTTTATAACAAGATTTCGATGTGCTTAAAGCCATGTATTACACCGTGCTAGAAAACATGAAACAGATCCGAGCACACCTCTATTGCCTATATTACATAAGAGGCTCCTTAATCTCATAAGTACATAGGACTTTTCCTCAAAGCATTTTGAAGGTAAGGAAGCGGCATAATCATCCCTATTTCTTGCCTGGAAAGACCAAGTGACTTATCCACACAGGGAGCCTGTAGCAGAGACACAACTCCTCAAGTCCCTCTAAAGTGCTGTAACCACTCCTCCTTCAACTGAGGTAAAACGATTTACCTGTGGGTCATGCAATGAGGCAGTGATAGACATAGGCCAGGATTCAACTATCACTTGTTTCCAAACACTGGGAACTGCTGCTTTCCTTCCAGCGAAATCCTGACCACCTCCAAGTATCACCAGCCCTCACTGATGTTAGCCAGAGCTTGGTCACTCGGCAACCCCTCAGAAGAAGGTGGCCCAGCAGCCTTCCTTATCCAGTAATCAGTGAAGCACAGCCAGTACCTATGCTGGAAATGTTTCACCTGTGACCCAAAGTCTCTCTCACATCCCAAACCCTACACAGCATCATGTAATGTGAGAAATCCCAGCCTGAAAGATGAAAGAGAGCTGGGGTTTACACATCTGGGGAGGCTTTCCCTGCCTCCTGGACATCTTTCTGCTGGAGGCAGGCAGCACAAATTTGGAAAGAGACTATGTACTGGAGGTGGAGCATGGTACCATCTCATCCACCACACCCTGTACACAAACACAAATTAGGGGTCTCAAAGCCAAAAAGTCAGTAACTCGACCCAAACTTTCACACATTATCTCTTCTACGGATCTTATTTTGGGACCACCTCTAACTGCAATGCTGTCTGAAAATCATGGCTTTCTGAGAACAGCAAGCAAAGCCTACGAGAATGTCTCCTTCCTTGGGAGTTTCCAGCTCCAGGCTATAACCAGGAGAGCTTCTGCTGCGCTGCAGCTGTCTAGTCTTGCAGGCAGAGAAGCCAACTAGGGGCAGAATTTCCAAATTCTCTGAAATCACAAGCCACAGGTCTCTGAGCAGCCAACAGGCATTTTCTGGAGAAATTCAGATAAGATAATCTATAGTCTTCTCTGGCTTTAAAAGTTACCGGTGTCATCTTAGAGCTGCTGTCATTAATAGGAATGAGATAAATTGAAAACAAACCACCTCTTGATCTCATTGAAAGTAACTATTAAAAAAAATAAATCCACGGGGAATGGTACTGAATTTTCAGTAAAACTTTGGATTAGTTCCTATTGAAGCTGAAATATCTGTCTGTCTCTCATCTTTGTCTATTCCTATCCCCTACAGCAATAGCTCAGCAAATTCTTTCCCCCTCTGCCCTACAACCCTGTGAAAGATGGTCTTTGTACAGGACTAGCCAATACACAGCAACCTATCCAGTTCCCTTGCTGAGTGCTGGGCCAGTAGCTGGAATCAGCAGCTTGGTCCTTCCTCTTCCTCATGAAAGACTCTGGTTTGGTGCTAACCAAGAACAGGAAAGTGAATGGTGTTTCAGAAAGCTTTTCAAGGATAAAAAAACCTCATCCACACCCTGTTCTGATTACATCTCAATGAAGCTACACAGGGGAGAAAGGGAGATAATGTCTCTCAAATACCTGGTCCACCATTCCCCCATAACTCAGGTGGAGAATTACTTAGGGCCACAGCACTAATAGTTTTCTGTTCACCTTCTTCTAGCATACAGTGCTGCACCCTGCCACCCTCCCAAGTACTTCCTACACAAGAGCAAGCCCGTAACAAGTCCTTCAAGTACAGTTGGAGGACGGACTGCCCTTAGAGATGCCTCACAGCAGCACACTCGAGAGACCACCAGGATTTTTCTGTGCCATGCCAATCTGGGTTTTCACTCTAACTTCTTCCAAAGGGCCATCTCTGCTACTTTCTACAGCACCTAAAGACTTCCTGGTTTGTTTGCTTTGTGGACTGTGAAGTGCTCTCCTGAGTGGTTAGGCAATATCCTGCCGTGCTTATCAGCTGCAGTCACTTGTGCCGCTCTGAATGGGCCCAACCCTTCTCTCCTTGAAACATCACTGACCTGGGATGACTCTCTGGAGGCTAGTGGTGTGACTTATACGAGGGTTATTCCTAAATATCACTCCTCCAAAACAGAGAAGCATCTCCCTAACTGCATAATCTCAACAAGCTCTTGGGCTTTCTGTAGCCGTAAATTCCACAGCCTGGCTCCCTGGGCTGTGCAGATGTGTCCCCTCCTTATCAGCCACACAGCAAGAGGAGGGTGAGGCAACTGGAACACCAGGAGAGCACTCAGTACTTCCACACCTCTTTCACAGGACCTGGAGCAAGCACAGAGAGACCACACCTTGGAGGAAGGGTACATTCCTGCTTTGGAGAGCTTTCCTAGCCCTGGTCTTGGCCAACAATCCTTTCCCCACCAGGCTTGTCTCAGTGTCACCCTCTGATAGGACAAGGTGAAGACAGTGAGATAGACTCTAGCACCACAGTGTTAGATAGAAAGGGTAGGTCATTTCCTAACAAGAGATAGTAGGAGAGAAGAACCAGTTTGTGCCCCATATCTGAGACAGAGATTCGGGGGAACACTTCCTTCTGAGAACAAGTGGCACATTGAGGAGGTGCTTACCTGGAAGGCTATGGAGTTTGCAATAGTCAAGAAGATCCGCAGGGGCAGCGTGGCTTTGTAGGACCGATGGCTCCAGAGACGGTGAGATCCAGCTGTTATCCCCAGAGCACTCACCAGGAAACACAGAATGGCTGGAGAGGAAAAGAAAGTGTTGGAGCAGTTAAAGCAAGTCAAGTCAGCCTGCAGCAAAGTTCAGGCAGAGCAACACAAAGGCAGGCCTTCCCCCAAAGCTATGTAAGCCAGAGAGGAATCCATGGAGAGCACAGATTGGAGCAATAAAAATTAATGTGAGAGTGCCCAAGCTACCACAGGCTTCCTAAGCAACATGGGGCAAATCACTTCAGCTCTTCACCTCTGACAAGGGGGGAGGCTCCCCCTTACAAGACTTGTCACAAGGGTTGGTTCTTCAGCATAGTGCCATCTGTCAAAATTGTATAATGCAACTGCTTCCATATAGCCCTGTGGTAACGGCTCGGCTCTGCAGTCCGCCAGGCAACAGCTTCCCCCTTTCCTCCCACCCTGAATAATCAAGGGTCTTGCTTTCCTATCTCAACACTCCCCACTAAATCTCTTTTGCATTCTTTTCACCTAGAGGTAGCAGATGATCTTCAGGGTTCAGCTCAACCCCAGGGTTAGGCTTCTCTTCTGCTGCCTTTCTGAGCAGAATCTGGCTAGAAAAAGATCTAACCCACTGAAGCCTGGGCTTCACCTTCAGCTCCACCACTGATTTAAAACCTGCCCAGAGGCTCCCGTTCCCAGATCCTCCTCTCTGCTCAGCTCCTGCACCATTTATGGAAGGGAACTCCAAGTCCAGCAACTCATTGCAAGTCATGCCCATGGCAGAGGCAGATGTTGCTGGGCCCCGTTGAGCTTTGAGGCTGCTTCATGCATTCCCTTTCCACACAGTTCAGAAGGAATTCCTTGCCCTTCTAGCAGCTAGGAAAAAACCACTCTCCCTCTGGATCAAGTGTTTATGTCTGCCCTGGTCTGTGTGTTCCCACATGTCCTCCTGGGACCTCTGGAATTTAACCTGCGTTCGAGCATCTGGTCCTAGAACTAAAATGGAGAAAAGACCCCAATAGGGTCATAGCAGCATTACACTAGGAAGCTGGGGATAAGAAGAAAATTGGATCTGAAATTAACTCTTTCTCTAGGAAGGAAGGGTCAGGAAGTCTGGCAGAAAGACAGAGGGCATTCAGTTTGCCCTGCAAGCTCAGATGTGGAGAGGGAAGGGTGCACATCTGTGCACAGGTCAACTGCTCCACCTTTAGTCCCCTGGGGGAAGGGATGTCTTCTTACTAGTTCCCCAGGGAAAACTCTTCCCTTGGTATAAACTTGCAGATTTCAGCCAATTGGATCAATCATGAAGACAGTTCCTTATTCTTATATGTAAACTCGTAGACAGGAATCGCTGGTATGCTTGACAATATCATTCAGTCCAGCCAAATGGCTCTAATCAAGCTTATCTTGAACTCAGAAAATAGATACTCTGCCAGAAACTTGTCTGGAATCAGAGATCTGAGACATGTGCAAGGCACTGTTGTCCTGTTCTTTCATTCAAAATAATCCAGGCTTTATTTCCTATCATCTCCTGCTCCCTCTTCCTTCTGTCACCTCCTTTTTGTTTTTGTACATTCCAAACCTAATCTCTTATCCATCAAAAGCCCACCTCAGCTGATTTAACATCCTCTTCTGGCCCCTTAAACTTGCATGAACCTCCTCAGTCCCATCGCGCTGTATAACAGCAACCTTCCCTGTCTGCTGATCTGACCATGACTTCCCATCTTCATCTTCTCCCTTGGCTTCCCTGCCTGCTGCCGAATGCAGTGCAAGCCTCAGACCAGCACACCTCCGCCTCATGTCTCCCAGCCCCTCTGCGGTCTCTCAAAGAAGCCAAGCAGTCACTGGTCATAGCTGATTTATAAGGCATGAGGAGGGATGAAAATGCACGCAAATACAGCAGGATCTGGCCTTTGCAAGAGACAACAGACCTGAGCAAAGCTCACAAAGCTGGCCAAGCCTGGAAGAGGAGAAGGGAGGGATGCTGGAGCGGGGCGTTTGGTTCAGATCGCCTTTTGGCCTTACTGACAGGAAAGTACTGATGCTGGACACCATGAAGGTCTCACCCAGCCCCATGATGCTGACTTGAAAGTTATGAACCAGCTCGTGACCAGTTCCCTGTTGGTTTTAGATTTTAAGAGTCATTTTAAATCAGTCACTATCTGCACAGATTCATACAGAAGAGCAAACCTTGTAAAAGCACCTAACACAGGACTCTGATTTGGAGAGCCTCCTGGCCTCAGACACTGCAATAACAACGAAACCTGCTCCTGGATGTTTCAGACACTTCCTACTAGTGGCAGAAGTGTGACTCACCGCCACTCTCCCTTGAACGTAGCCACCTATACCCTGCAAACCACATTTCGTACAACCTCTGGGCAACTTTATACCTACAGTGCGCACCTCAGTAGCTGAGGTAGACTTCCAAGGGGTGACAAGCAGTTTATGGCAGAGGCCTGCAGGAAGATGACTCTGGCTGAGGACTGTGGTATTTAAGCTTTGCAAGAAGGAAGCTCATCCGTATCTCTTTTACAGAGGCAATTCTCAGAATTTGGCTCTGGACATCCCCTCTGGGAAAAGATGACACCAGCAAGGAAGACCTATCAGCAAGCACGAAGAATCACAAGAGAGATGTGGTGGGGACACTGACAGGCCCAGAAACCAGGCAACCCAGTACTTGCTTTCGGGTAGCCTTGCCTGAAAGCGTTTGTTAAAAATTTGGAAGAGTACCCACTGCTTTCGAGTGCCCTGGCATAGAACAGTCCCAGCCTTCATCCAGAGCCCTTGAACCTCAGCAGCTTATGTTAACTTCTCTTGGAGCTGTGTGCCAGGTCTCTACAAATGGCCACAACTCTCTAATGATAATCCCGTCCTGCCTTGCCTCTTGCCCATATGCAGCAGCTGTAATTTATTTAAGGAGCAGACATTTTCTGTGGGAAAGGAGCTGAGCCTCAGTCTGTGCATACACGGCACCCAGGCTCACAGAAATCCAAACTCTACTTGGGGACTGTTGGCTCCCTCAGCCATACCGCTACGAGTTGTTGTGACAGTGACAGGACATGGACAAGAAGATTGAAAAGCCGGGTGGAAAACAGAAGAATGCAGCACCCTAATGATTCAGAAGGTTCATCCCCACAAACGGTACAACGATCACTGCATAGCCAGGGAATCAGCATCTCACAGGGAAGCAGAAAAGCTCCTCCAAGATCATTCCCTAGATTTTCACAGCTGCCCTGTGATGCTACCCCAAACTGAAGGACTTAGGCACTCCACCAGCTGAGCTTTCAAAGCCATCTTCCACACCATGCTTTGAAGTACCCAAGATCCAAAAGACTGTCAACTCTCAGGTGATGTTCCCAATGACCTATTCAATTGGAATACAAAGAATTATGACTGCTGGCAGTAATGTGCACTCAGTGCTCCACAAATTAAACCCAAAACATTCTGGATTCAGTCATGCCTATATGACTCGCTTGCCTTTACCTCTTCAGGGCCCAGATTCAGACCTTAAGCTATGAAGGGAAGCCAGGAATGTGCTAAAGGCACTGTCACCTGCAGTCAACACCAAGGATGCTTACATGAAGAGGTGTCCTTGGGCTTCTACTCAGTGTGAGGGAAAAATACAGCTCTGGACTGTTCCCTCCTTGCCTCCCAGTCCTGCTAGCCAGGTGGGTCGTGCTACTCTCAGGGGAAAAATACCAAAAGCAAGGAAACATGTAGGCTGCAGAAGGGGAACAGCGTTTAGGAGGAGCAATAGGAGCTACTGTTGCTAAAACCTAACTTCCGTATCTGGCAAAATCAGAATTTCCCCTCCATGCTTGGTGAAGCACACCACCTGCTAGTTAAGCCTGGAGAGGACACTAAGCAGAGAGGAGTTGCCAGCAGTAGTCTTGATGGGAAAATAACAAAAAACTTCCATAAATGTTTTGCTGGACACATCCCTTGGGGGTAGCAGCGGCTGAGATTTTCAGGCTGTCAGAGTTGCCTAAATTATCCAGCAAGATGCTCCTTGACCCAAAGATGATACAGCAGCAACAAAAAACGGTATCAACCCGTGTTTCTGCCGCAGCTGGCACTGCAGGGAACTGGGGTGTTGCTAGAGCACCACGTCGAAAGGAACCGTCACCGTCTATAGGCAGTATCGGCCAGGCCAACAGGAGTTAACACAAATAGAATCGGTCTACTGTATGAGGGCCAGGAAGACAACCTGAAAATCACGTTTCCAGGGAGGCTCAGAGCAGTTAGAGGAGAAACTGTCAATCACCTTTGCATCCTGCCCTTCCAGACTCAGTCTCTATGCTGTTTGGCAAATGCTGTGAAATCTGCGCTGTGATCCCTGAAAAGACTGCACAAGCCCTTTGTCAAGTGCAGTGGAAAAGACAGTAAATAAAAGGGGAACTGGCTAGAAAGCCAGAGTGCTGGAAGGGCTCGGAGAGCTCTCATTATGGTAAGCTCTCACCTGATCAACAACCCCAGCTCATTCGGGGAAGCTCTGTACCAGAAAGAGATCAGGGGATAGAATGCACACAGCAACGCAGAACAACAAACAATGATGAAGGCAGGGCTGGCGAGCTCGAGAGACAAAGAGGAATTAGCACACAGAGAAACGAAAACAAAAGAGGACACAGTCACCAATACAACTGGTTTCAGAGGGACAGGAACATCAAGCAGACGGTGGCCTGGATGAAGAGAGTATAAGCAGGGGATTGCCCCTTATAATGAAATATAGAAGGTAGAGCAGCTACCAGGCACCACAGCTGCCTGTAGTATCACAGCAGAGAACATCTGGGGCCATGTTAATCTTGTATTTTATGTACACAGCCTAAGGAAGGAAGGAAGGAAGGATCTGAAAAACAAAAAAAGAAACCAGCAAAAACCCCAGCAGCTCCAGAAGTACCACTGGGAGAGCTGCTCTGCCATGAACCCATGGTATATTGCCGGGAGCAACCTAAGTTTGTGCTGCTCTGTCCTTGGGTGTAAAATGGGAAGCGTAGTCCTCTCCTTGATACCAGGGTGTGCTGGGAAAATAACAGCAAGTCAGTGAGATGACAGCCACAGATGCCTTGTATGT